TGGAGCAATAGCCTAGGTAGTCCTTAATTTGTTCATCTTCGATCCTCTGAGAACATTTGCATAGGACAAGTTTGGTTGCCTTTTTGTTTCGGATCTGATGGTTTCAGCTGCACTTTTCTGAGTTCCTTCCTTTTGTGTTCTTGCCTATCTATCAAACCTTGGTTGATTTACATGGATCTTGACTCCTTCTACTTTGATCTAATCTAGCTCCTTTTCCAGCATACTCATGTTTTTCACTCTTGAAACCTGGCAAACCCAAACCGTCTTCCATATCTGTCTTTCTTGTTTGGTACATAGATATCAATAACTCTGCCATATCCACCAAAAGCTCTCCACATTTGTTCATGGTTCCAATCCTTCGAGAAGTTGGTGAGGAAGAACAGAATGGATTGATTGTATGTAGCTATATCTATTCTCCAATTTGGTTGGAAACCCTTGCCCCTACCTTGATGACTGTAGTGATCCCAACTCCATGCTGTTCGTCTTCCTTGCTTCCTGGTCTCTCTCTCTCTCTACTTTTGCCTCTCATGTTTTTTTTTAATTCCACCATAAATGATTTACAGTTAGAAAATTTCAAAAGCTGATAAAAGTTTGTTAACAGAACCATTTCTTGAAACAGAGGTTAAAGATGTTGTCTAGAATGGTGATAATGCAAAAGCCCTAGGTCCGGATGGTTTTAGCTTCAAGTTCTTGAAAGCAAAATGGGATGTGGTTAAAGGCAATATAATGAAGTTTCTCTCAGACTTTCATAGCAACAGTAGGTTAGTGAGGGGGTCAAATTCTTCATTTCTTGTGTTGATCCCTAAAAAGGAGAATCCTCAAGGTATTGAAGAGTATAGGCCTATCTCTCTAATAGGCATCATGTACAAAATCCATGCTAAAATCCTTGCCAAAAGATTGAGTAGGGTGCTGGATGGGATTATAAGTGAACAACAATCGGCATTTATCGAAGGCAAACAATTGGTTAATGGAGTGGTAATTGCAAATGAGACAATAAAGGAGATCAAGAGGAAAAAATTGAGTTGTTTCCTTTTCAAGACTGATTTTGAAAAGGCCTATGATAATGTTAGCTGGGAGTTTCTGGATTATATGTTGGAAAGGATGAATTTTGAGTCTGTTTGGAGGGGGTGGATTCGAGAATGTCTGCAAACAAACTCAGTCTTAGTCCTGCTCAACGGTAGTCCAACAAAGGAGTTTGTCATGAGTAGAGGACTACGGTAAGGTGATTCACTAGCTCCATTTTTGTTCTTAATTGTTGCAGAAGGGCTTAATGGCATCATTTCATCGGTAGTTGCAAAAGACCTTTTCAAAGGGGTCCCAATTGGAGGATGGGGGACATGTATTTTCTCATCTACAATTCGCGGATGACACTTTATTAATAGGGAAAGCAACAGAGGAAAATATGTGGACTGTAAAATGTATTATGAGGGCCTTTGAATTGGTCTCAAGGCTGAAAATTAACTATGGGAAAAGCTCCCTGATCAGCATCAACGTAGACAATCTATGGGAAAGGGAAATGGCTTGTTTGCTGAATTGCAAATTGGGGTCTTTTCCATGCAAGTATCTGGGTATTCCTTTGGGAGCAGATCCTAGAAGAATAACTACATGGAAGCCACTTGTTGACACTTTCAAAAGAAAGTTGTCTTCTTGGAGGGGCCGTTTTCTATCCTTTGGAGGAAGAATTACTCTCATTAATTCTGTGTTGTCTAGTCTATCGGTGTACTTAATGTCCTTTTTTCTCCTTCCAAAGAGCATTATCAATGAGTTAGATAAAATAAGGGGAAGATTTTTGTGGGGGGGAACAAGGGAGAGGAAGAAGGTTGCTTAGGTTGCTTGGTAGAAGGTCTGCAATAGTATGCTTGATGGGGGTTTGGGTATTAAAAATTTGTCTTGTTTCAATATGTCATTACTAGGGAAATGGTGGGGAAGACTGCTCACCGAGATAGGGGGTTTTATGGAGGAAAGTTTTATTTGAATTGTGTGGGAGTAGAGAGGGAAGTTAGCTATCTTACTTAAGGGAAGGTAGATGCGTAGGCTCAAAATGGTGGAAGGACGTCTGTAAGATAGATGAGGGCATGGGTATAAAAAGGAATTGGTTGAGCTCGGGTTTTTACGTGAATCTAGGGGATGGCGGAAAGGTGAAGTTTTGGACAGATGTATGGGTAAATGGCAATGTACTGTCTAACAAGTTCTCTCACTTATTTTTGCTAGCTACAGATCAAAATTGTAGCGTTAGAGATATGGGATCCTGGTCGGATGATTGTTGGCATTGGAAACCATCTTGGAAGCATCAACTTCGATCATGGGAGGAGGATTTAGAAAGAAAGCTACTAGAGACACTAAAGTTAAGCTCCCCAACACATAACAACGAAGATCTATGGCAATGGCATCTGGATCCCTCCAAAAAATACACAACTAGGTCAGCTTATTCATGGATCTTAAAAGGAGACCCAAGGCTAGCAATTGACTTCAAAAGGGTGTGGAAAGCCTCCGTTCCATATAAAGTAAGTGCATTTTGTTGGCAATTGCTTCATAAGAAACTCCCTACGAAAGATACTCTAGCAAACCATGCAATCTGTAACACAAACTTGAATTTAAGCCGTTGCTGGTGTAATTCATCACTTGAAATATCGGATCACATGTTTGTTAATTGCAACTTGGCTTTTAGTTTATGGATGAAATGCTACAAGTGGTGGGGTAAGCAATATGTGTTGGGTAATTCATGTATAATGGTTCTTGACCAACATAAATGGCTTGGAGGCCCAAAATTACTTGATAAAGGATGGAATATTATATGGTTTGCAATATTATGGACACTTTGGCTGGGTAGGAATGATAAGATTTTCCATACAACGGAGGCAAAGATTGACAGTTTTTTGGAGCTAATTCAGATTCAATCTTTTTACTGGGCAAGGAACATCGAAGGAATTGACGGGTTCTCTTTATCAGCTTGGTGCGAGAATCCATCCAAATGTCTTAAGATCAATCCCAACTTGAAAGATAGTGTTTGAACTAGTTTTTTTGAATAGGTGGACTTATGATGTTATATTGGTGCTGGTTAATACTATAGGTGCATCAAGTTGATATTTGTATATTATAGGTTCAAGTACCCCTTGTACTCCATGATTAAATAATTTTTTGCCTTTAAAAAAAAAAAAAAGGAGTAAAGAATAAATTCAAGTACTCCTTGTATGTAGTTTAGACTCTCTTCTTCGATGTCTTTGTTTTGGCCAAATATAATCTTTCCCTTGCTTGGGATAAACTTGATGCTGCATAACCATCTAAATGATGCCTCCATTGAACTATTAAGCGCCTTCCTTATCGTGTTAAAGGAATCAATCTCCTATAAAAATAAGGATAGCTTTAAACAGCTTTTAAACCTCCACAGCTTGGTACCCTTGAATCTATTGCTGTACTTTTCTACCTTTTTTTCTCCCTTTAATTCTGTGCTGAAGTATATTGTTCTTTTGTGAGTGCAAAAAAACTAAAGTCCTACATCAGTGAAATATAAAGAGAAAAAGTAATTTAAATATGTCAAAATCCATGTATGTTGAAGCAAAGAATGAGAATATATAAATAAGAGTGATGCCATAACTTTTAATAATTGTAAGTAGGGAATAAGAATGAGAATAT